AATGCTTACAGTAGTAAACATAGATACTTTAACGGATAATAATATAAACAAATATCACAACTTAGGAACGTACTTGCACGTTCTTTATTCTTATAAATATATATAAATGTAAAGTAAATCGTATATATATATATATATATATATATATATATATATATATATATATATATATATATATATATATATATATATATATATATATATAAATAAATAAAGAACGTGCAAGTACGTTCCTAAGTTGTGATATTTGTTTATATTATTATCCGTTAAAGTATCTATGTTTACTACTGTAAGCATTCTGTAATTTCACATTTAAAAGCATGGGCGAGTGATCCGAATGACCGCACTCTTTACCAGTTTATATATATATATATATATATATATATATATATATATATATATATATATATATATATATATATATATATATATATATATATATATATATATATATATATATATATATATATATATATATATATATATATATATATATATATATATATACGATTTACTTTACATTTATATATATTTATAAGAATAAAGAACGTGCAAGTACGTTCCTAAGTTGTGATATTTGTTTATATTATTATCCGTAAAAGTATCTATGTTTGTATCACGGCAGATGATTTCGGGTACACTTTTATTAAGGTTTGAACAATTTTTTTCTACGTTATATATAAAGACAGTTTTTTGAATATCGTGTCACCAATAGTAGCCTATTAGCCCTATTTGCTCGTCATTCTTGTTAATTACTTGAAAATTACATCCTAATAACACATACATATCTTATTACAATTAAATTAGAACAAAAAATATCCATATTTTCACAGTTTTTAATGATATTTGACAGCTGTTTCGGCAACATTCCGCCTTTATCAAATACATTTTTTGTTCTAATTTAATTATGTTAAATGTATTTTCATCAAGTAAAAGCGACCTCAGTCCAAATATATTATATATTATTAAACTGATTATTTGTTTTTTAACGTATTTAGTTTGTTAATGACTTTCTTGACTAGCACTATCAAAATGTTTATTTAGTGAATCGGTGTATGCTATTAGGTTTTCATAATTTTTACTTAGGCTTCTGACACTTAAATTTTGGTCAATGAAAGTTTTTGTTACAAATTCTGTTTATTAATCAAACATTACTTCTTAATATTCCATTTTCCCTAGAACTTAGCGCAACGTTTTTTGAAACCCCCTGTACAAATTAATGAATTTTTGTTTTACCAACTTAGGCATTTAACGGTTTGTTGTTGTTTGTTGTTTGCATCCCTAATAATAGATATAACAGCTAAATAAATAAATGAGATTGTTTATACGTAAGGAAAATTAAATCCAACAAGTCAGATCGAAAGCGGAAGCTGGTGATATTTCTTTTAAACTCTTATTAAGGTGCTAATATATGAACCTGGACTTTGAACTAAAAATTGTACGCCAACTATCATAAATAAATTTAGAAGATTGATTGACACTTTATTTGTTTCCTAAGGAAACTTTTCGAAGTTGTAAATCATAGAATTAGCGCTACCGAAAAAACAGCTCTAATCCCATATTATCTAGATAGATCACGAACACCATCATATGACTAACAAATACACGTCAGATTAAAAGACAGTATTCAGGAAATAACCATATGGATAACGAGGATTTTCCAAAATTATAATAAGCGTGTTTTTAAAAAAAAATTGTGTTTATAATTAATTGTTGCGCTTTTGAATTTTACAGATCCGTTCAGATAAAAATCTTATTGAAGATCAGAATGTTAAATCAGTAAAACACCAGCTCAAAGAGCGAAAATTGCAACGAGATGCAATGACCTATGTAAAGCATTTATTGGAGCCAATATATCACTTGAAAAACTGGGCAACCCCGGAGATATTTCCCACGCTTGGAATTTTGACGTTTTTCAATTCTGACAGTCATGTCAGTGAATGTATTCGTGTTGTTTTGCGAAAATGTACCCAAAAACTAAAAGTCGCAGAAAAAGTATAGTATGCAACACGTTTGGTAAACTTTTAAAATCACTAGCGTCGAATAAACTCGTGAGTCAAATGCCATTTATCGCACTTGTTGCATAATATACTATTACCGAACGTGTTGTACCTGATGAAACAACTGTAGATGTGGAGTGAATTTTTTAGATTTTTAAATATGTTTTTAATTCTCTTTTAGGAAATTTTTGTAAAGCATGTCAATTATTTTTGAATGAATAAAAATCTTTTATTACAATTTCTGAAGAACAGTTTTAATTATAAAACTCATATTCGCATTTTTTGTTTATTTCAGACTTCAGACTCTTGTCGAAGAATTTAAAGATATAGATTGTTTGTATAATTTAAATGTACACATTAGACTTTATATGAATTCATTCGTGATATTTTCCTCAAAATCAGATGGTGTCATCCTAAGAAAATTTGGAAACTCACTATCACCTTCCAGTTTAAAGTGTGCCAAAAACAACAATGTTTCAAAGTTGTTTTAAAAGCCGGACCATACACCTTAATGTTCTTTCTTAATTCTACGGTAAAAGAAAAGAAAATGCTTACGTATTATCCACGCAATGAGCCGCAGTTAGAATTGTCATCGGGTTGATTAGGGAACCACCACAAAAGGAGCCGTGCGTAGCATTAAAAAAAATATAAACAGCTGCCTGGAAAAAGCATGTTAAGCATGTTAAAATTCTATCGAGTCAACAAATTTAAGATTACTGTTAAGAGTTGGATACTTGACAGTGGCAAAAAAACTTTCAAAGATTAACTTAAAGCATTCAAAATAAGTTTGCGCTTCTGGTTAATTTTTGAATCTATTGACCTTGTGAACATCTTAATCTTATTATAGCGTATTTTGTCGATTTTGATTTACAAAAAAATTGTTCACTTTTTTTAATATTTTAATATTTGAACAACTCCACCCACACATAAAATAAACATTAATATTAATAATATACCTGGTAGGGTCTCGAATTTGGAATAGACTCCATACCGCCCACTATTCTGCTGCCATCATCATCACCATATTTCGATGGGAATTCGAATGGTAGAAGCGGATCTATATCGAAATAACCGGGAACAGTCTTGGAGAAGTCAATGTCTGTTGCCTAAAAATTGATCTGTTGTATATAACTGTTGTTTTTAATAATAAACTTAAGTGGTTTGGACATTTTTTAAGTTTTTGCACCATAGGATGAAAGCTAGTTCTGGTACTACATATTCGAGAAACTACATTCACATAATACCTACGTGACCGTAGACATAGAGAAATCCAAATAAAAATGTACGAATCATCTCGAAGAGTACAAGTCTCGCGGTTTGTTTTCCAAACTTTTGTTCCATTGTTTCTCAATGATATTCTCGTTTTATAGGGTCGTTAAATTGATCTAATCCTTAGATAACGCTGCCGCTTCAATTACAATAATATTTCTTTTAAAAGTGGTGACGTTGACGAATTTATAAGCAGATAAAGATAGTCCATTGATATTATTTAATATAACTATCTAAAGAATGAATAATAAACTACATTGCATTATTATTTAAACTTTTTGCAGTTTTTTATCACAAAGAATGTTTAATTGACTTTGCAAACAAATAAAATTTGATGGGACATCAATGCTGGATCAACATTGAAATAAAATGAGCAAGGAAGGTTTTGTAAAATGTTTTACATTTTAAAAATTGTTGGAACTATTTTTGGTGTATATACTGTTGCATATCCCGTTCTTTGGCATAATTGTCGGAACATCTAAACCTTATTCTACGATTGTAACCTACGAATCTAAAAAAGTTAAATACTGGAATTTATAGAAAATATCCTTTTGTTGAAAGACTTTGAGAAAAGAGCCTGAAAATGTCGATTACAGCGGGTCAAACTACTATTGCTGCACCTACTGTCGAGCAAATACAAAAAGACAGAGTAACACAGGTAGTTTTCTGTTATAAACAAACTGATAATGGAATAACGTCTTACGAAATTTCAGCTTGCAGAGAAATATTGGGCACCACATACCGTTAGCGAACACTTGGCATTTGATCCAAATGTTATTGAAGATATTTACATGCAGGACATACGGGGCAGCAAGTAATAATTGTGAGCTCTCCTTGTAATACATTAAATTAATCAAATATATTTGTTTTAGCTTTTCTGTTCGCAGAATAATGGTGCTGGAATTTAGTCAGTATTTGGAGAATTTCTTATGGCCGAATTATACACCAGATGCTTCTATAGCTCATATTCTATCAATTGTAATAATGATAAATGAAAAGTTTCGAGAGAGAGTACAAGTCTGGCAAGCTCTTAGGAAACAAAGTGAGCATTTCCCTTCTTTCTTTCAACGCGTTCTCAACGCCTGCCTGGAAGATGAGCTGCTTATTAATATTAGGGAGCAAACTGCTTTAATTATCTTTCTAAACCACTGTTTCAATAGTATGGAAGAGACAATATGTAGGGATCAAGTTAAAAGATTAGTTTCTTTGTCAATGTGGATATCCCTTCAACCAAATCGAAGGGAATTTGAATTCAAGAAAAACCCAAAATGGAAGAAATATTGGAGAGCTATCCAAAGGAAAGACAAACCAGAGCAGCTTGAGAAATTGACATGGGAAAGGACTTTTTTGCACAAACTTATGCTTAAATTTATGAGTATTTTGGACACTATTAGCGAAACTGGCGTTTGTCCTTTGGATAAGGTGTTTGAGATGAGAAATGTCAACCATTAACATTCTTTCTGATAAATCAAATATTTTAGGTACACTATTGTGAAAGATTTTTGGAGTTTTTGATCGATTTGGAGGCCTTGCTGCCAACTAGAAGATTTTTTAATATTGTTCTTGACGACTGCCACTTGGTAGTGAGATGTAAGCTTTCTGGCTTGATTAAGAGAGATGAAGGACATTTATTTAGTCAGGTGAGTCTTTTTATTTGTTTATTTCTATTCACACTTGTATTTGGATAGGTAATTGTTTTTATTGAAACTGAAGAAAAGCTGCAATTTTAAGGGTGAGATTGATAAAAGTTTTAGATAGGAAAAAAATTTATTAAATTTTAAGTACACAAATGCCTGTAAAAATGGAATTCGTTAGATAATTGAGCTTAGAAATTTAATCAAAATAATTAAAATTGAGATGATTACTTACAATACATTGGTCAATAATTTCAAGTTAATCTCTTATTCGAGTTTATAGAATATCACAACAAAAGTTATCAAAGATATGGAATAAACTTATGTTAAATTAAATTTAATTCACACAAAAGTAAGGATTTATAAATATAAGCAATTAATTGAATTATGTAATTATACATAAATATCTACAACTAATTTATCTATTTTTCAACTATTATTTTACATATTTCAAAAATATAAAATTAAGCACAACCTTTTATGTTTGTTAGTTTAATTTTATAAAAACTATAGAAACTAACCTAGAAAAATTACAGCAACTAGAAAAATATGTATATATTAACCTAAAGAAAAGCTGCCATCAATACCATGTTTGTCTTTTTGGAATACATTAAGTGCCTTAGTTACCTGTCCTCCTTTATTCAACACTGAGTATGCATGGCTGTCATTTCATCCCCCCACTCCTGCTCGCGGTCAGGTCTGCAGCAGGGACATATACAGTTCTCATAACAGCATGTTTTACGAAGTAAGTAAGATACATGCTTTTGGTTAAACACACAGATATAAAAAATTGTGGGTCCTTGAAAGGTGTTCACTATGATATGGCTGTTGATCAGACCCTCGTATTTGGAAAATGAGGATAGGAAAAATAGCCAACACAGAGTCATGGTCAGAAGAAGGAGTAAAAACATTCTGAAACTGTAAAAAAAAATAAAGGTTTGGAATGAGCAACAGCTGTTTCTACCTGTGCCGAAGTTTGTGATGGATTCTTCCATAGGTATGCATACGGTTTATTTTTTTTAAAGTTGTGGCTATGAAAAATACATCAACTAGTACAGTAAATGCTATGGGTACAAAGAAAATGATCATTCCCAAAGAACCTGCGACAAAAAAAAAATATTTTGAAATAATTTAATTAGCAAGAGGAAAGAATCTTAATGTATATATGATTATTACCAATTTGTTCTTGCTGTTGATCAAAGTTCAAAGTGGGTTTCATATCTTGGTAGTCCATTGTAAAATGGGCAAAAACAGCTAAACAGCCTAAGATCAAGGTACATGACCATGCGTAGCTTCCATAATAACAGTATTTTTTCCCATCTGTTATTCTCAGAAATACATTTCTAGACCTAAAATAATTTCTATGGAATATTTACACTATCTAGAATTATTAAAATGTTACCTGAATGTCCTCCAAATATAATAACCCAAGCTATTTAACCAGAAAAAGGCCCCAAGGAGGCTAATATAACAGATTGTTTCTGTAAAAAATGAATTATAATTTTATAGTTTAATAATGCTTTTGTGCAGGCATGCTTACCGGTAATGAACAAACTTATGTGACTCTTAAAGACAGTCAATAAACGAATGAGGTCAGCAGTCTGGTTAACTATAAGGCACATACACATAGTGGTAACAATGTTACCTGTCAAATCTCTTAAAGTGGGCATTACAAAATATATTACCGCCACCATTAGCAGGAATATTATGGTAATTCCATGCGAAATGGGGTTGACAACATTGTGCATTAAAAACTCATTTGTGGTCCACATCTGTTTATGGTCTGGAGGGCAAACCCAAGCGAATTCCCTTTGTATTTCATCTTTTTTCTGAAAAAACTTCATAAATATTGATTTTATGCAGCGAAAGGGCTTACTTTATCCATGCAATATTTGCCTTGCTCATAATCTTGGTAAAGGTTTTTTCCTTCAATCAGTTCCATTTCAAAATCAAATTCCTCAGGAACTTGATGATCAAAATAATGCCGTAAAACTCCATTGGGAAGTAACCTAAGTTTATCAGTAGAGTTTTGATAATGATAAATCGGCCAGGGCTGGGTATGGCCACAGTCAGGTAATCCAAACACAAACCTAAAGTTTTTAAATTGAATCTAAAAATCCTAACTTTGTCGTTGGGTACTCACTTGTGTTTCACTTGCAAATTGGAGATTCCTTTCTCAGAAGTAAATAAAGGAGACCACTTGTCTCCAACAAACTCAACAGGCTTGCAGTATTTACCTATATAAATGTCATTTTCTAAGCAGCATTTGTTGACTAATACTTCTGGTCGAGCGTTCACATTTTTACCTATTCCGGCATTACAGGGATATAGGAGTAATGTTAGGATATTTATTATCAGCAACATATTTTGTTTCAAATTTTTATTGTCCTGTTATTGAGCTAGTTTGGTTTACTTTTTGATCATTTCGGCATTCTATGACCTCCGTGTCGCCGCTATAATCGCACCGCTTCTAATATTTTAGGAGGTTTTTCAAAAACATTAGACATTACCTTGACTTCGGCAATTTTGTTTTTGTTTATTCGAGAACAAAATTTACAACGCAAATAAATGTGTGGTTAGTGGCTTAATCCGAATCATTGAACTTAAATTGGTGAGTCTATCGATTTGTTTGCATAGAACACTTTCCACTCTTCTTTACTTCTATTGGCCAAAATATGCTACAATATACGGACAGAATTGTAATTGAATTTATTTAAATTCACAACAATTACTACACAGCAAACCTTATAACTACTCCAGTTACACTATTATATATGTTTCGCATCGTTATGGCTAATCTGGCACCCGGTACATTAGTACCTGTGTGTACTTAATTGTTCAGACTTCTGTCGTCACACAGGTTTAGATATTAGTTTAAAGAACAATATACAATGATAAATAATACAGTAATAAAAGGTTTGAAAACATTGAAACCCAAAAAAAAAGCAAACCAACAAGAAAACAAAAAAAAGGAGAAGGCGCCCCAATTAATAATATCGAGAACTATAAGATAACTTGGAAAGTGTAATTAGTTTGCTGATAAAAGTTTAACTTAGCCATAGTTCTAAAGTTAAAACAGACACGCAAAGGCTTGTTTATTGAACCCGAAATTAAATTGTTTGGGTGTTTTTAAACTGTTTGCGCTGTATGTAGTATTAAATAAATTTTTTAAATTTCATCTGTTGTGATTGTGACAAATAAAGTTGAAAATTTTTTCATTTTTATGGACAAAACTGCATGCAGTTATTATATACCCACTCAATTTTAAGTATATCCCCACAATAAAAGAGATTCGTTTGGATATAGTCTTGGTTTTCTCAGTAAAGTACTCAGTATATAGTTTTGTGTTACTTTTTTTACTTATCTTTATAGTTATTAATAAAATAATTGATAAAATTTTTTGAACTCAAATGACATTTGATAAAGACACGGTGTTGTCGAAACAATTGTCATGTCAAAATATATAATTTCGTGAAAATCTGAACTTTTAGTTTTTATTTATTTTAATTTTTGAAACAATCGTCTTTCTGTAATAATAAACCATTTTGGGTTAAAATAATAAATACCTTTAATGACATTGACATAACAAAAATAAACTAGGAAAAATAAATAAGCGTTATTTATTGCTGTTAATTCAGTGGTTTTGGTATTAAGTCATCGCTGTTTGCGTTATCGTCGTGTTTCTGTTCCCCATTTTTATGAAACTCTACGGTAGTAATTACATCGACGTCTTCGTCTTCTTCCTCATTTTCGTCGTCTTCTAAAAACCTCCAAGAACTTGGAAACCTCAAGTTACACAATCCTTTGCTGGCCAGCGCTCGTCGGACTCGTTTCCTGAATACCACCAGTACCAGAAATATTAACAGCCCTTGCATAATATTAAGCACATCGAATGCAGTGCTAAAATACAGTATTATTCATTATAACATTATTTTGGTATTTTCGCTAGCACCAAACTTACAATAAAATTTTCATAATCAAATAAGTTTCTTGCGTTTTCATCGCCGCGGTTATCATCTCAAAAATCCACGTAAGTCCCATAATGACGGACAGTTTAAGACATAGTTTGAGACTAAAATCGAGATCGACCGGTACTCTTTTGAAAGTTTGAAATTTGTCACTCCTGACTTACCGATATTTCAAAGCCTTGCTGTTTCTGTTGTCGATTGCTTTCCAAAGAACTACAACGGTCCATACGAAGTAGATCATGTTGAGGACGATGAGGACCGAAATGGGACCGTAGAAATAAATGAATGTTTCGCGTAGAGCTGAAAGTACGTTTCATATGATCGGGGAGGTTCATGTAAATGTTCGCTGGAAATTAAACAATGCGCTTACATTGAAACCAGCAAGCTGAAACTCCTATTCGGGGTTTTATATGTTCGAATGCTCTCAGTTCGGTGTACTGTGCCAGTAGTACGATGGTTAGGCAGAGAATGGTCCCGCCAATGGCGAAAATATAATAGGTCCGTACCCAATTTCTCGCATTGCTAAATATCTGTAAGGCTCTATGAAATAGTTGGTTGATTATTTTAAATGAACGAATGATTACATCATAATTATTGCCAATAAAATCGACAAAATGTTCGATGACTTGTTCCCGAAAAAATATTTAAAATTGAGATTTTCACATATGTTCTTCTTTATTTTACTTTTATAATTGTTGCAATTCCTCGTCAATACTTACGTTGTTGTTCTCCAGATGTGAAACGACAAAGTATTAAGCCAGAAAAAGGCGTATAAGAGAAAAGTGTAGGTCAAAAAGGCAAGCACGCTGCATGTAATCTCACCGTGGCCTGTTTCTAACTGAATAGTGCTGAGAAACACGTATCCTAGACCAAGTCCGAACAGGGAATGAAGGATGCAGACACCCTATCAAAAGAAAAAAAAGCAATTACAATTCTTTTTTTTTCAGTAAAAAAGTATCATATTTGCAAATACAGTGACTCACAGCTTAAAAGATGCAGTCGCTGTAACAAAAACTGACTGGTCTCAATATCTCTTTATTTATTTGAAAAAAAAACAACTCATTGAAATGAAGTTAATAAAGAGCCTTCTAAAAGCGTGTGAATTACTTTTTGTCTTAAATATGACTTACTTAGTTAACAATAAAGAATTAATTAAATTATATACAATTTTAACGTCACAGCTTAAATGATGCAAAACGAAATATAACCAAATCAATAGAGAAAAACAATTGCATAATTTGAAATACTCCTGCTAATATTTAGTCGGGTCTCCCTCATTATCGATAATGGCTTGTAGTCTTCTGGGTATTGATTGAACTAATTTTCTAGTATACTTTGGGGAAATTGTGTTTCATACTTCAGTAATTTTTATTTTTAATTCATTGTTGTTAGACATTGGGACACTTGTACTTTGTTTTTTCATGTCAACCACAAATTTTCAATTACATATAAATCTGGTGACTGGGCTGGTGTCTTAATAATATTTGGGCAGTTATAAAGCAACCAAATGCGAACCCCAAATGATAGTCGTGATATCATGATAGAACCGATATTTGTTACCCATATTTAATTTTTGGCACTAGCAACCAGATGATGGCTTAATATAGCCAAATACACATATTGCTTCATATTTCCGCCAATGAAATGCATAGTACCTATTTCTGCAGGTGACATACAGCCCTATAACATCACTCCACCTCCACCGTGTTTTACCGTAGCTTTTAAATTTTTCAATTTTAATTCTTCCTTAGGTTTCCGCCATACTGATATTTTTCTATCGGATCCAAGTAAGTTTATTTTGGCCTCATCGGCAAATATTACTGAATTTCAGAAGTTCGAATCTTTATCGATATTCTCTCTAACGAATGCCAACCTCACGCGTCTATTTCTTCCGCTAATGAAAGGCTTATTTCTGGCAGTTCGACCATGCAAATTATTTTTTCTACTCCCGTCTATGAAATACCTAATGACACACCGATCTAGCGTGCGGGAAGCGTCACTTTACCACGTCAGTTTCGCGGGATTCATCGAATTGTTTTGGGGTTACATCTTTTTCCAAACTGTCTTTGCACCTCGTCACACATCTTTGGAGCACTTTTTTTCGGATAATTCGATACCTCTTTTACAATCCATCTTTCCTCACGTTCATTGGAGCTAAACCTAATATTCTCGGACCTATTTTCGTAACAGTAACGCTCAATGATAAGCTGAACAGTTGACGGACACAAAAAACAATTGCAGTAATAAATAAAAGTTTTGGTAAATTTCAAACTGACCATGGCTATTATGTTTGCGTGATTTAAGCTGCGACGTTAGTATTGCTTATAATTTAATTATTTTTTTATTGTTAACTAAGTAAGGCATATTTAAAACAAATCGTAATTCACACTTGTTTAGAAGGCTCTTTGCTAACTTAATTTCAATATGTTGTTTTTTGCCAAATAAATAAAGAGACATTCAGATCGGTTAGTTTTTGTTGTAGCGACTGCAGCATTTAAGCTGTGAGTTGTGTACTTAACGAAAGTTTGTCTTTTGATTTGCTTTTTAGTACCGAAATTTAAATTTAATATTTTGAAAATTATTTTACACACTGCATCATTTACACTTACTAATAATGTGGTGGGTATTTCGAATTATTTTTAACATTTCATATTTTAAATTTTCCTCTTTAATTGCTACTTTCCCAATACTATTAAATTGTTTTATTTTTGAATGATATTTTCCTGCTATTTAACAATAACAAGATGTAATACGTGCTGTCCAAAACTGAATTAATTAACTTTTAATATCAAACAAACAAAAAGCAAACTATTTTAAAAGAAATCTTACAGAAAAAAGTTTACTAAGAACTAAAAGATATGTACGGCACAAAAATGTTTTCTATTGAACTTCTTTAAAATTCCAAGAAAAACATATTTTGTTGTCTGGACTTTTTCTATTTAATGACCAACTGATATCAGCAACTTATTTAACATCAAAAAATATTTCTCGCTTGCTTGCTATGACGACCGTTTTGATAAAAATTAAAACTTCATTTTTATTCTCCAAACTCTGTATGAAATTTTGTTGAACATTATATATTTCGTGATTCAACATAAAATAAATAGATAATAATTACTAGACAATGTTTCCGGTTTTTTGGACAATTTGAACCTCGGATTCAAAAAGATGGTAGAAATTCAGTATACCTGCAGGTCTAGTAGTTGTGGTATCGAAGCGTAAACTACGATGGTCAAAATGATAAAGAACACTGATACGTAGCTGAGTATGGCTCCCGATACCAACTTGGTGTTTTGAAAGTCTTCGTCCTCGCCATAGCACATTACGTATATGGGTTCGTCAGATTTGTTCATCTTCGTCTGGCAGTAACTTGAAAACCGAACCTTTTTCGTCTAAATAAAATAAAATTACCATAAATACCTTTCGCTGATTACGCTACCGGAATCTTCCAAATTTCCCTCCTCGTTGATCGTTATACCGACTTCCGCCAATGCGGACAGTTGTATAGGGAATTGGGTTTCGTCTTTTTTACACGCGAGGGATAGTGACGAGTTATTTGGACACCGGAGCGTGTCCGTTTCGTCCCTAGAGACGACGTTTTCATCAGAACAACATTCGTATTTGCCCAAGGCATGGCCCAGCCTGCATAATAGAGTGGCCAACAGTAAAAAAGTCGCCGCCATGTTTTGGGAAGTGTTGGTCAGGTGGTTACATCCGGTTCATCACTACATGTTGCGGCTTGAGCAGGAGATCGAGCTGAAATCGATTTATTTTCTTTGATCTTTTTGTACGTTATTATCGCGCTGAAATCACTACCGACAAGATATGAAGATCGCAATCGTGGTAAACAAGTAGCTTTTATATTTGAATCATTTCCATTGATGGAATGATACAAATTCTACTTGTATTTCTGAACGTATATTGCATGAAATTTGACGAATAAAATTAGCATTTGGGTCAACAAGTTCATTAAGAAAATTTCAAGAACTCCAAAAAAACATGAGTAATATTATTCTGTGATTTGCACCACTTATATCTTAGACAGGTCCATTATGCCTCATAGGGAATACGCTCGACGAATAATTTGTTTAAAAAACTGTAGGGATCAAGAAAATGAAATATATTGCAAATTGAAAAACAGATTTGGGGAGAATGTAGCAAAAAAAAAAGAAAAGAAGAACTAGAGATAGCCCAAGGAAAAGCGTTTCTGCTAAAGATAGGCAAAACCGGAAAGAAAAACAAAGCCGTAGTGGAGAGTTCAACCAGTTCAATTTATCCAAACTCGAAGAAGATGCTGGAAATACCAATAGAGCAAATCCTACTAGTTGTTACGCAGGCGCGACTATAAATTGCATGGCAGAATGTGGAAAACTCTGGAAATGACCAGAAAACATCCAAAGCAAATCTCGACAAAACCCCAATTTTTGTTGTTCCTGAACAGGAAAGTATAGCTTCTTAACTCTTGACTGTGACTATACCATATAGCTATAATAAAGTTTTTGTTCAATGTACTTTTTAATGTACCTATCCAGCAGAATTAAATGTTACCTAGGTATCAATAGTCTTAAAAGTGACTTATTGAACGAACGTTTTTGATTTTTGAATATGGAAAATAAACAACTTTTGGAATATCTGGGAAGTCAAGTATTTTTTTGATGTACCTATATATTTCATTGCTTTGCTCCATCAGGTCCCAATTATAGCCTATATTAGATTATAGACTATAGTTTACTTGTTATTCAACTATGGTCCAAAGGAGAAAAAAAATGTTTAATAACAATATTTAGACTAAATAAAATTGTTTACGTCATTCTCTACCAACCTATAAGTTTTGTAACTCGGTAAAAACATTTAGAAGTTAATCAGAATTCCTAATAATCATTACAACTTTGATTGTTATTGGGTGAAGTTACGGTAACTTAATTTAGTACTAAATGAACTAAAATTGCCCACCAATTGGTTTTAGAGAACACAAAAATTAATTTAATAACCATTTTTTTCAATTTTATCCTCTCCTCTTTCCTGTAGTAATTTTCGTTGTTCTGTATGAAAGCAAACTGCAATAGATTGATTATTTTTAGTTTTAGTTTTGTTGATGTTGAAGTTTCGTTAGTTTCTGATGCACCGGCCTTTATGTATCGCATAATATTTTTTTATTAATTGAACTTTAAAGACTCATGTTTTTTCTATTATGTGTTTGAACAATAAAAAAAAATCGCCATTATTATTATTATAATATTGGATTTTATACATCCCTTAAAACGTTAAACATCCCCATTTCTCTCGTTTTTAGTTTTTGGTATTCTGGATTTTTCTTATTAGTTATTGGAAATAAAAATACATCAAAATATTTCTCAAAGAAACTTCCACAGGCTACTGTAATGCTTTTTACAAAACTTCTGGATTCTTCCTGCGTCGGTTTTTGCTTAGTCGAATTTGCTGACGTTTCGCCAATCATCCTGTTGGCTTCTTCAGAGCTTGACTGAAACTGTCAGGAGGAATCCAGAAGTTTTGTAAAAAGCATTACATCAAAATAATTTAAAATAAATATTTTGATATGGAATTTACCGCGGGTATTGCAAACAAATAAAGACTAATGATAGTTTTAATTTAATTATGATTATTGATTTTCCCGAAACGTGATAATCAACTTTTTTTTTCTGAGAGGGTTTTCAAAAATTGGTTGGTATACCCCATAGATATTCGTGTGAACCTCACCCACATTTTCCGTGACCTTCGTTATGTAAATCATTAAAGGATGGCGACGTTCCTAGCAATTACGACATGAAAAAATGAGTTCGAGGAAAATGCGAATCTTTTGCACTAATAAGGTTCGATATAGATAGTAACGGTGATGTTTTCTGCGCAGTAAGGTAGAATTTATATTAATATATTAAAATATGTTAATGAAGAACCGTGGAAAGATGTTTTGATGTCAGTGATAGTAGTTTAAGTGATCGTAAAAGTTTTGTATTTAGTGAAATAGATGTCGATAATTTAAGACAGATGCTATAAGTTACAGTGACCAGCTAAAATACAGAACAAATTCATTTAGAAAGCATATTTTGGGTTTTCAAGAAAAAATACTCTCACACTTCCATTATAGTTTTTTCTTGCGCTTTTTTTTGCAAAAATACAGGGTGGGTCAAGAAGGAGATTTCGGTAGCAATTTCTTTTCTTTTTCCAATGGAACACCATTTTCGAATTCTGCCTCAAATTTCACGTACAATTCATGTAAGATATCCTATACTTATCTCACTTTTTTTTACATGGTGACAAAACGAGAACTCAGGAAGAAGTCTGTGATTTGTTTAATATCCAGAAATATCCATTACAAGATCCACAGTAAGTAAAGTTGAGAGAAAAATAAAAGAAACAGAACATGTTAAACATCACCTAATTTTAGTAGAAATTGAGGATAATCCTCAATGATGCTAGCCAACAAATATCATCCGTACAAGACTGCATTACTGCAGGAGCTGAACGAAGATGATCCCGACCGCAGGGTACAGTTTTGTGAAACTGTGATGGAAATGGCAACTTAAAACCCATTTTTTCATTGTCAAATATTATTTAGTGATGAAGCCACGTTTTGTTTAAACGGTACGATAAATAAACAAAATTGGAGTACAAATAATCTCAGATAAATAACAGAAAATCATACGCAACATCCTCAAAAAATAAATGTTTGGACAGGGATTTTGAATAACAAAATTATTACACTTATTTCTTCGATCAAAATCTTACTCGAGCCCGACATTTACAATTTCTTCAGAATAACTTAATTCCTACTCTCGCAGTTTTTCCCGGACAGTGGACTGGTAGAAGGGGATCGATAGAATGTATAAAGAAAAACAGCAAAATTTAGATGATTTAAAGTTTAAAATTAAAAATAAGGCACATAAATGAGCAACGTTTTGGAAGGGAACACCTAAAAAAATCATTTTTTTAACATGCCTTGTTTTTAAAAATTTTATCTCAATTTTACTCACTGTGGATCTTGTAATGGGTCTGTCTGGATCTTTTGCCTCATTCATATCTAATAAAAATTAAAATTTTAATTTAGTCAGTTCTCTGGGTTTCATTTAGATGCGTCATTTTCACTTTCTTTACTGACGGAAATGTAATTGTAACAATTTAAAAACTTTAGTAGTACCAGTTAATTGCCTGTTTATTTCAAAATTAAACTTCCGTTTTATATTTGTTCATGTACATATACCTGAAACTTGACACAGAATTCAAAAATGCATTTAAAAAAAGGAACTTCTATTTAGTGCAAAAAATGAGTAAGGAAAAATTATAATGGACTTGTGCGATTATTTTTCTTGAAATTCAATACCTGATTTTTAAATGAATTTGTTTCATATTTTAGCCGTTCGCTGTTTTCTGTGCTGTTGAGAAAGTTGTCTTAAGATCTCGTTTAATATTTTTCTTTATTGTCTTATCCTGCTCTCTCGTTCTTAGTGTTGGTTTTATGTTTCGACCACAATAATACGATAAAATACGTTAATGAAGAACTGCGGAAAGATGTTTTGATGTCGGCGATAGTCGTTCAAATGCTCATAAAAGTTTTGCAATTAGTGAAACAGATGCTGATAATTTCAGTAAGGCGATCGCGGCACTAAATATTCGAAAGATGTAATGCTTACGCCATTTTTTTAAATAGTACGGTTGCCGGGGGGTGGGGAGCGAAAAAATGGTACCTCCAATGCGATTAAATCAATGGAATATTTTTTAATTATTTTTTTTTCGATATTTTTTGAAAATGCTATTTATAAAATCTAATTGTCCATTAACGAAAAATTGCGAGCAATGTAGAAATATTTTAGGGTCTTATTTATATCCAACATTTAAAAATTTGAAGAAGAGGGAATTATGTTATAGGCAATTATTAGTGCCCAGGTAATCTTAAACTCTTTTGGAACAGCCCATGTAGTACCCAGTATAATCTGCTATTTCTTAATATATTTATTAGTATTTTATTATATTTATACGCGTGTTATTTTAATAACTTTTTGTTTTTTCTGCAAAGTGATGTTCGAGTTATAAACACCGAAACAAACAAACCATTTCCTTCGACAATTTCGCTTTGCAAATAAACGGAACAATACTATTGCTAAATTTAGTTGTGGTTTAATAATAACATCCAAAGCAAACATCCCATTAGATAAATATAGAAAACCAATAAAATCTCATTTAAATTCAGTGCTGTAGAAAATATTTTGAGGAGATCGAACGGCCACTTATTCTTTGTATTTTATCCCGAGCTTAAGTAAAATATTATTACTTTTTAGTTTAAATTTTGTAAAAGAAATTATAATTTATTATAAAATTTGTGAACGATGGAATTAAATAGTTCGTCCGGTATATAAGCTTGTTATCTAAATCTCAATATGATTTTAGGATTATGGGCAACAGAAATTTCTGATTTGTTCTTGCAAATCCAATACTTATTCGATATATTCAATTTTGCATGAATACTTATTCATTCATTCATACGTGTTTTTATCCATTCTTATGTGAGACAATTTTGAAATAATATTAGTGTTGTATTTTAATAAAGCAAACCATAGAAAAAACGCAAGTGTGTTTATGATTTCTATTATTGTGACTAGTGCCAAATTGTGTTGTGAGTTTATCTTAAAATTGTTTATTTGGAAGTTGACCAGTATAGTGATTTGTTTTGTTTTTTTTTTCACGTTTCTCTCAAGTTGCTTGCTTCTCTTTCCCCTACAGTAAAACTTTGACCTCGCTGTGTGATTTTTGTTAGTTTCGAAACTTTAAATGACTTAATTCCACAAATAACTTTTTTGCAAAAAAATGACTTACCTGTTTTTTCTATTGACACGATTCATTCAAACTTTCCCCTTTTTCTGCAATTAAGAGAAATAAATGGCATGAACAAACACTTGGTATATGATATGTGCCGTAAAATATATCAAATTTAAACTGTTTAATTTTTAAGTTGTGTTAAGTTTAGTTAAGTCCAATTAACTAATTCATTAAGCGTTATAATTCTGTACTTCACGCGTTCAATGTGATAACTCTTAAAATGCGGCGCACCTATTGCTTTTTCCGACTTGCCTAAGATCGAGACCGGAGGAAACGAAAATTTGCGACAAAATTCGCGCACTCAATTCGGATTGATCCAGCGGGAAATCTGGAAACTGTTCATATTTTTAAATTTATTTAAGTAGACGAACGCGGGTACCATTATCAAACTGCGGACGTATAGGCGCAGACGGATGTTTTAAAATTTTAAAACGTGTCTGTTTGCCGTATACTGGGTGTGACGATACCGATTACCACGCAAAACAAAGAATCGCGGACGTATTAATAATATGTGCACACTCTCATTGTCTGTATTCCTATATGGGTAGGGTTCGAGAGTCTGAAGGTAAAGTTGAATTATCGCGTAAAATTTCCTGATTGTTGTGCATTGAATTGAATAAAGAGCTTATTAATTGTAATGTCTTAATGGATGTTGACGAACACTGCAAATTGTAACAAAATAAACGAATCAACGATAATCATATTCTTACCGTGTAAAAATACTGTGGTCACATTTACACCGTGCGCCAAATAAAACGATCCACTATACGATTTAAAATATTATAATGTTGTTGATACAGGGTGTCCCAGGTTTAACACCCGTATAAATTCTTGTTGAATTTAAAGCTTTTTAAATAGCAAAGACATCTTTTAAAGATATAATACTCAAGATATACGAATAAAACTTATGGCTAACAGTACAGGGTGTCCATTAATACGTGGAAATTTTGAAAAACTCGATTCTATACTACACACTTTAACAAATTTTATAAAACTTCAGAATTAATATTTAAAGAAACATTTAATAGTTATTATTATTAATATTTTTAATAATAACAAAAATAAGTAATTAAAGTTTATAGGCTAACTAAACAAGGTAACAAATTTGAATAAATAAATCCATAAAATAAAAAGTTCACTAAAAGAAGTTCATTAATTCGGTTCATAAAGTTTAGTTAAACATGTTCCTCTTAAAATGCTCGTTTCCTCGTTTCATCTGGCATTAAAACAGCAAAGAAATATCAAATTATTTAAAAATGTAGTTGGCTATGACATCACAATCTTTTTTTTTTGCGAATTACGGTATAAACAAACTTTGATATTTCTATTTGTTTTTGTTTTGTTCATAGTTGTCAAGTTTTTTGTTAGTATATATTTTATTTGTATTTTAGATAAGTTATAGTTTATTGGTTACAATGCCGCAATATTCTGCTCAGGAACGGCTAAAATTGTATGAATGCTGCTTGACCAATGCATCAGGGGAGTATCAAAGAAAGTTTACGGGGCTAAAATATCAACAAAAATAATATTTAATAGAATTTCCCGAAAATTCTTTTCGAGATGCAAGCAGGGACCTTAACTTTTCAGCTGTACCATGTATTTTAAAAGGCAACAAAATTAAACCTAGTAAATTTCTACCAATTCAATTTTTGATGATTTTGATGCCAAACGAAACTTCTTGATGGACGAACATTTTGAGAGGAACATTTTTAACAAAACATTATGAACCGATGAGGCAATTTTTACGACGTCTGACATGCACAATACAAAAAATTGCCACTATTATCCAACAGGGAATAAGTTTTTAATGAGAGAAAATAATAAACAGGGCCAACGGAGTGTTAAAGTATGGTTCGGTATTATAAGGAGGTCCCATTTTTTTTTAAACTATTTAATTTTTTAATTTTAATATTTCAGTAAGATAGCGCCCTATCATTCTCGTCATGAAATGATAAATTTCCAAAATATAATTGGTAAAAATGGTGACATTGCGTGGCCACCGCGAAGTGCCGATTTTACTCCCATGGACTTTTTTTTGCGGTGCACTTTAGAGGATCGTGTGTAAAAATCGCCAAATAACTATACAGTTCATGACCTTAAGGAAAAAAGTAGACAAGAGATTCTTGCATTAAATAATAGTAATGCGGTTAGAAATATATATATATATATATATATATATATATATATATATATATATATATATATATATATATATATATATATATATATATATATATATATATATATATATATATATATATATATATATATATATATATATATATATATATATATATATATATATATATATATATATATATATATATATAAATAAAACATATGTTACAGTGTTACCACATTTAAGTTTTTTTTGTTATATAGATTTATTTATTTAAATTTGTTACCTTGTTTAGTTAGCCTATAAACTTTAGTCATTTATTTTTGTTATTAGGTATTTTCAATCAAGCTAGATAATTAACTATGTTTCTTTAAATATGAATCCTGAAGTCTGTTAAAGTGTCTAGTATAGAATGGACTTTTTTCAAAATTTCCACGTATTAATGGACACACTGTACAGTTAGCAATAGGTTTTATTCGTATATCTGGAGTATTACATCTTTAAAAAAAGTAGTGTCGTGTCTTAGCTATTTAAAAAATACCTAATATTGCTAACAACAATTGACCTAATGTGGCCAGCTTTAAACTCAACAAGAATTTATAGGGCTGTTATCTTAAACGTCGAATATCTCAAAAAGTAAGTCCTAGAATTGATATCTGAATAAAAATATACTGTGTTGCATTTGACAATCTTGAAACACCGGACACCCTGTATAAGTTGAGGCAGATATGTCAAATAGATTGAGTAGTGCATCATCTCCTTAGTCTGTGGTTAAATTTTCTTGACAATACCTGGATCAGCAGCGTCAGAACACAATTTTATATGGGTCAATCAAAATATGAAAAAAAAACATAACCGCAATTTCTGCCTAAACTACGCAAAATTTAATAGGAATTTCTTAAGAAAGTGATTTTTATTTTAACTGAGGATTTCAAAAATGTCGAATTAAATAAGGTGTTCCATTTAAAATTACAAAGTTGATGTCGGAGGGACACTTTTGGGACACCCTATATCAACAAATTTATAATATTTGAAATCGTCAGGAGAGTCCAAGACACTTTTTTCTTATCTCTCCAGAAGGTATAATGTATTATTTGGCGTACGGTGTACAGGTTGCCCCAAATTCCGAAGGGACTATTTGGATCTCGGGTACCGTAAGAGAAGTCCAGAAAATTCTGATTAATTTCGGAGATGTCCCGGGAAGACCCAAAAAAACAATTTCATTTGAATGTTTTTTTTCCTTAATACACAAGAAAACATATGAGGCTTTGCCATTGCAAGTTTTAAGTATAACGTTTCGGTTTTGTGTGCCCACCATCAACTTAATTTTTTCAAATACCGACCTGCATTTTTTATTTATTATTTTGAATGAGCTTGTCTTTTCGCAAAAGTATATGTATCACACTTGATGGTATACTAAACAGTAACGCCTGAAAATTGACAATAAAGTCGAATTTACACAAAAAAGGTGGCCATGAAACAAAAGCATTTTTATATTAAACCGTCTTGACGTATTTGTTAAATATTAGGGTTCTAATTACATTTTATTTTGATAACTAATTTTTACAGTGGCCAAAAAATATGATTTTAAAATAAATATTTTCTTTTCGCAAATCAATAAGGAGAACCTGAAAATTTGAGGATCTAAGAAAAACACACTTATTAAATTAATATTGAAAATATAAAATGTCTTTGTTTCCGACACCCTAAACGATCTTCAAATTGAAAGTCATCTTTTTAATACGTTTTGCGATAAGCCTTCGCAATTTTAATATTGCACATTGGATGAAGCGAACGGGAATAGTTCTGTTTTCTCGAACTAAATTTGTAGAAGTTCATCTATGTCATTCGGGGAGTCACGATATAAACGATTTTTTGAAAACCCCTATAAGAAGTAATCCAGTGGATTTATATCTGCATTTCTGGCAGGCCATAATGTAGGTCCACGATTTCCTATCCACTTACTTGGAAATAATGTATTTAAGATGTTTTTTTGCCGTCGATTGTGAGGGGGTGCGTCTTGTTGCCACCATAACAATTGCACAATATTTTGTTGATTTCTCAGATGGTAAGTTACCTTCATATATTATTGAACCGATAATTACAGAACTCTAACCGTCTAACTTTATCACAAGGTCTAAGTTTTTGACTTAAGTGGATTTTGTAGAAATAGGAATAGAATGTCCTCGCATTCTCGGAATTTGCAGTTCATTTCCAAAATGTCTGATTGATTCTCGAGGTGTATTATTACACAAACATTTATTTTATGTCAATACTGGAAAATTTAAAATTGGTTTCTCGTTTCTTGTTGACGATTTGAAGTTGTAGTAAAATCCTTTCAGGCTTTTATTTTTACAGTAGGAATAATATGCATAAACAAATATAAATATAAATTTTTAGTATCAAGGTAAGAGTTAGGACCCATATGCGGAACTAATCGGAATTTTCTTAATTTTATATAGTACTTAGTATTTACTTCTAAATTCAAAATTCAATTGAAATAAAAAGAAAATCACATCACGGCAAAGAGAGGAGGAATTCAGCCATGTGTTTAGGGTTTTAATTAATTATTTGACTTAACTGAAAATAAATATTTTTAAAAATATTTAGCGAAGCACACTAACAAAGTTATTTTGAGTTCTTGCAAAATTATACATGATTTATAAGCATTATCAGATATAAAATAATATTATGAAAACAAAAGCCATTACTTATATGTTGTGTAATTTTCATATATTCAGACTGTTAATGATATTGCCATTCGTACTTTTCGTCGTTTAGGGTCTTGATTTTAAGGTTGAAAAATATGTCGCAATCCCTAATTCTTTGGTTCATCTCCAAAATGTTTGTTAATTTTTTTATATAAGACTATAGTGCAGTAGTAACCAACCTGGTATACCATATTTTCTCTAATCGATCGTAAAAATCATCTGTAGATGTTGACTTCATTGCAATAAAAAAATCAAGAACTTGAAAAAATATTAGAGCTTTTAGGTAAGAAATGCCGTCCAAAATTAGGTAAAAAAATCTGGAAATTCTAGTTTATGTGTTGTGATTCTTAACCTAACCTGTTCAAATTTTGCATCTGGTAAGGGGTGTTGAAAATCAAGAGAATTGTTAATGCCTTTGCTATTATTATAATTAGTTGCGATTTTTGTTACTGTAATGCCAATAAATCACACAAACTAAGTACCTATAAAATACGTTAAGTCACACGTTTTCATAATAAGATATTCCACTCTAATAAATATTTATGTCGTTGGTAGTCGTTCGTAGACAGTTAAAAAAAAATGCTTACTAATGCGTCGGAGCAACATCATTTGTGAACTTGCTTTGCATGAATATTTTCAAATCAAATACGCAACACTCTTAAGGCGTTAAAAAATGCACAGAATGTGTTACTACATTCGAAATTGAATTTTTGACGTGCCGTTCGCGAGCCATGTGTGTTCTCCCAATAGGCAAAACAGAAATAGAATTATAATGTACTTGGCCACCGATCCATCAAATTTGTTTACCAGAACATTCGGTCTCGCCGAACCAGATGATTATATTCTAGATATTAATACGAATTTGAGGCATAAGTTGCACGTTATATCTTTTAAATCGAAACATTTATTAAAAACGGGGGGTTATGGATTTGTATTTTGTTTTCAATTATGACATAATTAGACAGGTTATCACAAAACAAATACAGTGTGTTTAAATTTGACTTGAAACGAAAATTTTATTGACAATTTTTTTTTAAATGATGTTTTTTGGTAGCCTCTAAAACGCCCAATTTCGAAATTTCGTAATTTTATATATACCCATAAATTTTCTAGAAAGTTTCGAAGTTAAATTTTTTCATTATTACTTTCAACTCAAAAGTCACATTGGCGATCAATTAAATTAAGGATGGATAGAGAGCATTCAATAACATTTCGAATTTCAATGTCGTAAATGATTCATAAAATTGCCAATGTTGTGTAATGTAAGCATTTATTCAAGGGACGAATGCGGTGCCTAAATAAAAATGGTTGCTATGGTAACCATGTAACGTGGAAGAAAATAATTCCCAAGAGAAGTAATGGCGTGCGAGATTAAAATTGTCATAGTATATTCGGAATATTAATGAAAGTAACTTCTAAGAATTGACTTTAAAAAATGTGTAACGCGGTAGGTGAAGTGAAAATAAAAATATCATAATTATTTTAATTTCATATGAAATATGTTTACAAAAACTCCTTATTTCTTCTTAAGTTAAACAAAAAAACATTTTTGGAAAGACTTCACCTTTTAATGTAGTTTAAAATTGAATTTTTGGTAAAGCTAAGAGCTGAATGGAACATTTAATATTCCATAGTCAAATGAAGAAGCATTTATTATTAATGTCGTATTGCCTATTTTGGAAAAACAACTGAAGTCATAAGTTTCAAAGAGATTGTTACAAATTGTAGCTTTTGATTTTGTATAAATTTTAATGCACAGCACATCAGCGTTTCAGTCTTTCTCGAACAATAAGTAATATTAGGCCAAAATTTTACGCAACATAAGAAAATAAACGCACCCGCCTATGAACACACGCGTCGATTTGTTGACATACCCATTAAATGGCACACTGCAATCTAAACCGCCAAGTTTATTACAAACTTTACAAAGTAACGGTATTTTCACTATTAGTTTTTATAATAATGTTTTCCTAAAGCAGTTTTTCACTTTAAATCTTGGATGTAGTACAACACGGACGTATAGTAAGGGTTGAAGAACTTCCCTCCAATGGCGTAAGGGTTTGTTCATTGCGCCGTTGTCACATGATAATAGAACATTTCTTACTAATAAAATTATTATATTATTATTATTAATTAAATTTTGTTAATGTAATCGGATAAAACTTCTAATTTATTAATACTTTTTTAAATCTAAAAATCTTATGTATTAATCCTTTGAAAACTGTGGCGATGCTCAGCACTAGCAACATTGTTTTAGCTCCTCATTTATTATGAGGAGTTTATTTTTTCCAAACCAAACAGGAATAGATAAAACCAAAAATTAATTTTTCTTAAGTAAATACGATGCTCATTGATTATAGAATTAGCTTAATTAACATTTTAAAATAGTCAAATGAAAAGTTGAAAAGAAGTTACCTACACTGCTACTACATCATTGTTGTTTTCTAATACTCAGAAACGGAGAGATAAAATTATCAAATTTGGAACTTGACCATTTTAGAACGTACAACGAAATACAGCGACGTCAGATTTCTACACACTGTATATAATTTTTTTTTCAAGAAGCTTACCAAAACTAACGATTTGGGATTTACTTTATTATTTATTCATACTCATTTCAAGCTCCTGGATATGTTGAAATTCTACACCAGATTCGAAATAAGCGACGAAACCGGTGACCCTCTAACCGATCACGACATGACCGAGATCCACTATTCGAACATCGTGTCCCTTCAGGTAAGCAAAAACATCATTCTGACTAATACCCTTTGCTATTATTTGTTATCATTTTCTTTCCAGAAAGCAGCGTTTACCAAATTTCCGGATCTAAGAAGCTTCGCGTTGGCCAATGTTGCCAGCGTGGATACCAGAAAGGCTTTAACTAAACATTTTGGGCCGCTAACGTGAGTTGCATCCGTGTACACGACGATTTATAAAATAGAAATTTCAAAATTTGTGCAAACACAATGATGAAAATAAGATAACTTTTCTTGTCACTAATTTTTAATCCAAACTTTGAAAAAAAGTAAAAAAAAATTAGGAAAAGTTCCATATCACGTTATGCAGGGTGTTGGACCATTTTAAGAAAACCTTTTTATATCAATGTAAGTCCGCATTCGCTTTATTTTTGTTCTACGGGGTGTTAAAAATATTTCATAGATACTGTTTTAGATATTTTGTTGATGGTATGGTAGAAACAAACTATTCCGAGAAACAATGTTAACTTTATTTGATGAGAGTTTTTCATATTTAATCCTAAATTATGGTTGTTTTTGCTTTTAATTTTATTCTAATGGTTATATAAGATTTTTATTGCATTTTAAGATTTTCGCTGAAGATGTGTCGTCAAAAGTCAAGTCAGGTCATTTTAATTACAAAATCAATCTCGATTTTAAAAAACAGTGGTGTACCATTTTTTCGATACAAGTTTTCATGCTAACTAAACACCGCTGGTGCAAGTAGATAAATAATTTTCGCTAAAAAAAAGCGTTTTGCCTTATTTCGTATCTAATTAAAATTTTAAATCATCAAAATTTTGTGGGTTCTCTTTATGCATTTTTCATTTGAAAAGTCCACTGGAGTAAAATCTGGAGCTCTTACAGGCTATTCTACTGAACCATCTTCAACAATTCACTGTCCAGGAAATACCAAATATAAATATTCACGCACGGAGCTTTATCACTCAACAGCATCTGACAAGGAAAAAATGAATTTAAGTTGCACATTTTCATAGTTTCATAAAATAGTCTTCGGTCGTGATCAGCCTCGTTCAGCCCCCGCAACATCCTGACCATAGACGATCTTTTATACTCCCTGTGTCTATAAATTTTCTTTCAATTTTGCTCACTCTGGATTTTGTAATGGGTCTTTCTGGATATTTTGCGTTAAACAAATTACAAATTTATTTTTAAGTTCTCGTGTTGTCTTTATATCCAATAAAAATTAAAATTCCATTTCTCTGGCTTTCATTTAGATGCGTCATATTCAGTTTCCTTTCTAACAGAAATGTAATTGTGACAATTTAAGAACCTTACTCATAAAAAGTATAGGGTATCCTACATGAATTATTAAAATAATGGTGCTCTATTAAAAAAAGGAATTTGGTATCAAAATCTACTTGTTGACACGTCCTGTATATTTACTGCAAAAAATACGTAGAAAAAATTATGATTCTCGTGTGCGAGCATTTTTCTTGAAATCCAATACCTCATTTTTATTATTTAAGCTATTGACTGAATTTTAAAAATAAACTACGGACCTACATTAATGTAAACTTTTTTTCTTAAATATCCAAGGAATCGTACCCTTAAGTATCAGCATCTTATTAGAAAACTCTCTATGTAATGCGGTATTGAATTGAGAAAAAAAAGAAATGCCCGTTCCATTTTTCGTTGAAAAAATATTCTGGGGTCAATTTAAAAATAAAAAATCCGGTATATCGTCGTGTAAAATTTTGTAATTTTTATTTTAAACACTGTGCGCCTAACTGTATAGCATAACTTTTTCGCAATTGTAAACTTCAGACAGGAAAAGTTGAGAGCCATCGCAACATATTTGAGCCTCGTGCCACCTGTCGGCGACGAAGAGAAATACGATTGGATCCGATTGGACGAAGACTTCCTGCGTGAATTGCTGGTCGGTTAAAAGTGCCAGAACCCGGTTCACATTTTTATAACATGTTTCTTCCCGCAGATTTCCAGACACGAGAAACGCGTCTCTCAGCTGGAAGCGCTCAACGAAATGCCTTTGTACCCCACCGAGGCCATCATCTGGGACGAGAACATCGTGCCCACCGCTTACTTCTCTGGCGATGGGTGTTTGGCACTACCTAAACTAAACTTGCAATTTTTAACACTGCACGATTACCTGTTGCGGAATTTTAATTTGTTTAGGCTCGAATCCACATGTGAGTGCGCGGTCTGTTTTGCGCATGCGTATACCGAAAGAGATTTTTTACATTTTAGATGAGATCCGGCAAGATATTGAAGATGCGGTAAGCCGGCTTTGTCCTTGGTAAGTACCCTACATCGTCTATTTACAAAATTCCTAGATTCCTCCTACATCTCTTGTTGATAAATCGAACCTGCTGACCTTTCGTCAATGGCTTCTTGAGAGCTTAACTGAAATTAACTCGCATTCTACTATATACCTCTGTCCTTATATACTGTTAAGTTATTTTTTTTTAATATTGCCTAGCTTTCATGAAGAGGACATGAAGCGCAAAGGTAGAACGTTAGGTCACCAACTGAAACTGGTAAGATTACTCTGTACACTGACTTTTTGGTTACGTTGTAGAGATCCCAACGTTATCCTCAATTTTGTTAAAATATTCCATCACATCAAAACCTCATCTGCTTAGAAAATTTTTCATAAATCTACTTTTGCTTTACTTCGAGAAGGAATTTGTCATACTTGTAAAGAAATAGAATAAACCAATAAGCTAACTATCTTGTGTCTGCACATCTTGAAATTGCTTCCATCTGGTCCCCATCCGAGTTCAATACCCTGTCAAATATGATTCATGACAAAGTTGAAAATCTACGTCTTTTTTCTACAAAGTATCCCATTAAAAAATTTGATAACCTAACGTCAATACCGTGAAACCATCAAATCATTTCAAATGTTGAGTCTATCCTAAACTAACTGACAACAGACAACAGCTAATGAAATTCAAATCTAATCCCAACTTCGTCATTCTATAACCAGAGAAATCAGCCTATGGTGGTCATGAGCACAACTGACTATCTGGAAAAAATTCAAGATATTCTTACAAACGGATACTATTGTCAATTTAAAAAAGATCCTATTTCATCGATAGAACGCAACCTTAAATCTGTTATGGCTTCTTCTCTATTGGAACCTATGAAGAATGTGTCACCCCTCACGACTCTAAAATTCCTCGACTCCTTCGACCTGCCAGCACCTTTGGTTCTGCAACATATTCTCTAGCAAAATATCTGGTTTTTAAACAACTTATAAACCTTTAACCATCGCAAACATGTTTATGGAAGTTTTTGAGAGAAAAAAACCCGACAGCTTTCATCTAAAATGAAAATTATGGAAAGATTACGTCTATGACACTTTTGTTATTTGGCCTGATGGTCAAGAATCCCTACGAGAGTTTCTTAGCCAATTAAACTCTACGCGCTAATATACGTTTTATTATTGGATTAGAAGCTAATAATAGATTCCCATTCTTAGATATTCTTATTAACAGAAAATCGGACGTAACTTTGGGTCTTTTTATTTACATTGTCACATCACCATCCGGTCCAAAAATCATCAGTTTACAGAGTCGTAAAACTATCTCACTCCGAGTAACTGAAATCATAATTGAAATCACATCTGCTCTTCTCTCCAATAATTTTCAAGTCCAAAAACAACACCATCCGTGCCACTGTGGTCCTTCCTTAAATTCATACCATCTTTGACCACATATCAAAAGTTCCTAAGAACTATGACGTTAAAATCACATTTACCAAAATCTTCAGAATCTTCAATGGGATACAGCATTCCATAGCAAAAATACATTGGAAAAACAGGACAAAACATATACACTAGGCTTAAAGAACATGAAAAAGTCTTAAGACAAATAAGCTCATTAGCTGTAGGCGAACACAATCATGAAACTGAACATCAAATCTGAGTCGATAAAACTAAAATTCTTGCATATAATTAATTCTTCTTCCAAAGAAAAATCTAAGAATCCATATAAATCTCTAAACATTCAAACAATTTTAATTACGACTTTGGCTTTACCTTTCACCATTTAGCTCCCCCCACCCCCCTCCTCAAACCAAATATAAACAGGTACAAAGTAGAATGCGAGTCAGTTTCAGTTATGCTCTGAAGAAGACAACAGGATGGCTTTCGAAACGTCAGCTCGATTTCCAGAATCGGAATCCAATATTACGTTATCCTGTGGAAGTTCCTGTAAAAAAACGTACATCGTCGTGTAGACTATAATTACCATCATAAGTTGTTTTTGTTTGTTGGAGTTTTGTCTTGCTTCCGGGATTGGTCAAAATGTAATGAAAAGTTGTGTGGTCTAGTCAAGTTTCAAATAAGCAATTTATGTATTTCCAATTAATTAATTTCCTTGTTATTTAGTTGTACCGACACTAGTCCCCTAATCGTAACTTTGTTGACATTAGAAAGGGTGTTTCTAAGTTAATACCAAATATATTTAGCGGGAATTTTTTTAGCAACATTAGTGTCCTGGTGCCCGTTGTTATTGAAGATACAAAGATGCCGTCCTCACATTACTTTTCCGCTTCTCAGTAGTATTTGAGCTACGAGAAAAGATTTAAACATTTGCTTCCTTAATGTGAAGCATATTTTGATTTTGTAAATACTTGCGACTTAAAAAAAAAGTAGGCATTTTAAATTTAAATTCAAAGCTTTGTTCTTTCAGTGTCTTTAGGATCTTAAATAAAAACGTAATATTTTTATTTCTTTTTATTTAATTTAATCAATTCAATTTTTTTTCTGAGACGTTCTAACTTTTACATTTCTGGTTATACTGAATTTTATGTTTTTTCTTATTATTTCATTTTTTGTGATCTATTCAATATACATGTAAATATAATTATTAATACATAAAACACAGCTTTGATTTGACTCTATCTAATCGCAATTTCAGTCCTGTTAATAAGTTAACAAGTTTGCCTCAAGTCAAAATGTCTTCTATATTAACGAAATTTTCGGTTGTCTAGGAAAGCGGAAGACGGCAGCGTGTACTGGGGTGGATGGGCCAGAATGGCCCAACCGATTGAGCATTTTGCCGTGGTGGAAGTAGCGAAGCCCCACATAGGCGAAAAGAAGCCCAGCAGAGTGCGCGCTGACGTCACTGTGAACCTCTCCGTTAGGCCAGAAGTGAAGGCGGAATGGGAAAACTTGAGAAAACACGACGTGTGTTTCCTTATCACCGTGAGGCCTCCTAACCCTATCGGTAAATTCCCTCCAAATACAATTTTCATAGAAAGTTGACACTCAACACCATTCTCCTTGGTGTAAATTACTTATTCCACTTTTAGTCAGTATTTTAGCTGCGCATAATATAGATATTCCTGTCTGATATTGTTTAATTATTATTTGGTCAAGAAATTTTCACTCATTTGTAGTACTGGGTTAGTGAGTTAATTAAGTAGGAAAAAATACATATTTTTTAAATTTTATTATTTTTTAAGCGGAAAGCAGATGCTATAATAAACTTACAGGCACGAAATACAATTTCAAAGAACCCTTCATCCCCCAAGTGGGTTTGCGCTCTATACGGGGGTGCGAAATTGAAGGCATGTTGGACAGTAACGGTAGGGTTATTGAAGACGGACCCGATCCTAAGCCTATTCTGCCTGGGGATAGACGCACCTTCAGGGTATGGTTGGACTGTAATCAGTATCGGGAAGATATGATCGATACTCAAAAAGGCAAGGACGACGTGTACGAGGGCTTTAATATTATCATGAGAAGAAAACCGAAAGAGAACAATTTTAAGGCAGTGTTGGAAACAATAAGGTATATCCATAGGTTTTCCATTAAGTAACTGTTAGCAGCATTCTCATTTATTTATTAATTTATTTTATTTTCATCTTAATAAAATTACATATTTCTTATACAGCTTTTGCTTACATGTGATGTGTAATAAATAATATTAGTTATTTCCCAACCAAATAATATAGAAAGTATATCCCAACATTTAGCCTTATGGTTGCATAAAGGAGTTGATAACAATTATAAAAAAAAGTTCAAACCCTAGGTTGAAAGATAAAGACATATTAATGTCTGATCCTTGACAAGCAATAAGTGATTAAGTTTTCTACGATTCTAAATAAAAATTGTATACAAGTAAAAACAAAAATAAATTAAAAAAAAAAACAAAAAAGTCGCTGCTACACACAATCATTCTCGAAAAGGTACTTTCTATAGAAATATTCAAATAAGTTTAAGCTGATCAGTACGAAAGCTATATTTATTATAAAGGCACTGGAGACACTTATTCAATATTATATTACGAAACAGAGTAACAGTATAATTTACGCCTACCTTCCTTCCATTGTTACCCATTCTTTGTTTCTTTAAGTTTATATGAAACTGGATCCCACCATACATGAAATGCAAAGCTTACTTTTGGATTATTTTGTATTGTATTGATGTCACACAAATACAGTACCACACAAGTTCAATTGACTAAAAACCAACGAATTAGTCAACAGGTTATTAATAACTTTGACAAAAAATGTCTGTTTGGATATAATATTTTTAGTTTAAAATTAAGTTTAATATTGAATTCTAGTCTCAAATTTCTACCAGTATCGGAGGATTTTATTTCTTCAACTTGAATTTTTATGAGAAAAGTATCGTGAATAGTGTCACACTGCCATTGCATTAATTTATAAATTATGTTTATTTGAAAACTAAATGTATTAATTGTTCGAAATCTTCGTTTATTATTATTCATGCCTTATTGTGAGTTGACTGAAGAAATGAAAGGTACAGTTGTATGTGCTGTATGTCACAAATAGCTCGTAAATAGAAGAGAATAGAGAAGAGAAGGTTTTAGAGTAATATATATTATAATATAAACTTATATAAGACTTTTGATAATACTGGTAGGATACTAATCGGTCTTGGGTCACTAAAATATGAGATTTCAGGCTTTTTATGGAGTCGAATTACTTTCGAGATCTTCCACTTTTCCCAAAACACGTTATCTAATAGACGGGAATTGACAATATTTAATTCATCTTCTTCCGATGCAAGAGTTTTTATTTATAACAAAAACTTTCTAATATTCTGTTCATCAACTGAGTAAAATTTTTACAATTATTTTGATAATTATCCAAAATCCGTTTATTCAATGAATAATTTCGGCCTGACGAGAGCAAAAAACTCTTGTTTATTTTGTTAGATTTTTTTGTGTATATAGTTATATCATTAAGTTGTTCCAAAGAGTCTATTTAGTATTTACGCAGTGTTCGAGATAACGTTTTTTGTCTGCGCGAATGGTCTATATTTGTTTGGTTTTTATTTGTTTGTACGAGTTCTAGTCTGCGTCACTCTTTTTTTTTTCAAACTTACTGGAAGCTACCTAAGAGTACTATTTTAAACAGTTGCATAATAAACACTACAACTAATAATAGTAGTTGATCTCAAAATTAATCCTAATTAGGGCACACCTTAGAAGATCTTCTTGTACTTGCAACTTCCCAAAAAAAAAACAACTTTTCCACTGCAAGCAATGCGATTTGTGAATACTTAGCCTACAATATTTTTCAAAATTTCCATATTACAATTTAAATACGATCAAATTTATATCGTTTTAAGATATTGTTTTCGAGCCGCTTTCCACAACGCACACAATATTGTGCCTTATCCAGGTAGAATGAGGCAGTCACAGATTCAAAAGCATCAAAGAAACAACGAATAAATTCTTGTCGTTTCCAAAATATGAAAATGGCGATAGTCAAACAGCTGTTTTTAGAGCTGGCATGATTACTCGTCTATTATCTATAATTAGATAAAAGTGATTCTAACTGGACGGGATAGTATTTTTTTCCTTTTTCTAGGGAATTAATGAATACGGAATGCGTGGTCCCAGAGTGGTTGCACGACATAATATTAGGTTACGGCGACCCCAGCGCCGCCCATTACGAGAAAATGCCTAACCAAATCAGCACTTTGGACTACAACGATACGTTTATCGACGTCGATCATTTGAGGTCTTGTTTTCCAGAATACCAAATCAAATTCAAAACCGATGATCCCAACAAACTCGTGCGTCCTTTCAAATTAACGTTCGAAAATTTGGCCAAGGACAACGAGGAGCACAAGGACAAAGTGATCGTCGTGGAGCCACACGTCGTGCCCAAGAGGGGACCGTATTTATTCAACGAGCCGAAAAAGTAAGCGACCTGCGAATTGCGTTTGACCTTATTTTCATACCGAATTTGTTACATCAGAAATGCGATTCCTTTTACCTCCACTCAAGTGGAAGCTATCAAATCTGGTATGCAACCGGGACTGACGCTAGTGGTGGGACCTCCGGGTACCGGTAAAACAGATGTCGCGGTGCAAATCATATCGAATCTCTACCATAATTTCCCCAATCAACGTACCCTCATAGTCACGCATTCCAATCAGGCATTGAATCAACTGTTCGACAAGATAGTCGCCCTCGATATCGACGAGAGGCACTTGTTACGTTTAGGTCACGGGGAGGAAGCCTTGGAAACCGAAAAGGTTAGAACTTTAGACTACGAAAAATATTAGGTCACATTTTTGTCTTGCAGGATTTTAGCAGATATGGTAGGGTAAATTATGTCCTGGCTAAGCGGTTGGATTTGCTCGTCGAAGTGCAAAAGCTTCAGGAATCTCTCAACGTCGAAGGCGATCAGGCGTACACTTGCGAGACAGCTGGGTATTTTTACTTGTACCAAATCTTGTCTCGATGGGAGCACTTCTTAAGCATCGTAAAGCCCAAAAGCGGAAAGGTGGGTTGCTTTATCCACCAAAAGTGATGAGCTAATATCTCTTGTGAATTGTAGCCCGTGCCTGTTAAAACGGTTTCAGACGAGTTTCCTTTCCATAAGTTTTTTTGCAACGCACCCCAGCCTCTATTTAAAGGGCATTCGTTCGAAGTGGACATGGAAGTGGCCGAGAGCTGCTTCAGTTACATAGACCACATCTTTAAAGAGTTAGAGGAGTTCAGGGCGTTTGAACTACTGAGGTCGGGCCTCGATCGTTCGAAGTATCTGCTGGTGAAGGAAGCGAAAATAATCGCGATGACTTGTACCCATGCCGCGTTAAAAAGGAAAGAATTGGTGGAAATAGGTAATACATTTAAGGGTACCGACGACATTCTCTTAATTTAATGATATTGCAGGTTTCAAGTATGACAACATACTGATGGAGGAGTCTGCTCAAATTTTGGAAATCGAAACTTTTATCCCATTGCTGCTGCAAAATCCGCAGGACGGTTACAACCGGTTAAAGCGCTGGATTATGATCGGCGACCATCATCAGCTGCCGCCCGTCATTAAAAATATGGCGTTCCAGAAGTACTCCAACATGGAACAGAGCCTGTTCACACGGCTGGTCAGGCTGGGAGTGCCGACGGTCGATCTGGACGGTCAGGGGCGTGCCAGGCCAAGGTACATTTGAACTACTTTCTTTCTTATGTTAAATTATACCGGACATTCCGATTTTTCGTGTTAATATTCAAAACTAAGGTGAAAAAAATGTTCACCCAAAATACGTATAATTTAAAACTGACACAACAGTTTGTTGGGCAAAAAAATCTTTTTTGTTTTTAAGTATTGTGTAATATCTATTACATAAAACAATTCCTCGGGTAAGTTTTTAAATTTAACTTTAATTTAGGATCTTCAACAAGTTAATAAAAAACAGCATATAGGATATTTTCCTCAAATATTTTATGAGGTCTGATAAGGAGAAATACAATAATTTATGTACATTTTTCAATAACTTCTGTGAAATGATGTAAATTACATAGGTACATGCTATAAGCAATTTTTTTTAAGATACTGAACAATATGTGCATTTTTATAAGCAAGTATGTGCAACAAAAAATACAAGGCAGTTCTGAGGCTTTAGTAAACCTTCTAGGAGTGTAATTCTCAAAGAAACATGTGTCCATATACTTTCTCGTTAAAATACCTAACGAACTTCGAGAGTTGCTTGATGAATTTTCACAAACGTTTAAGTAATATTTTTTTAATGAACAATCTAAGCCGGTAAAAAAGTGATGTAAAGTAAAAAGTTCTTGCATAATGTTGTGTGTTATGTCTGTATAATTTGCCTTGGTAATGTAAGTTTTTCACCTTTCGCAACATAATTTGAATCACATAAATTGACTCAAATAATGTGACAACATTCAAAATTAAGTAAATCCTGAAAACCGCCTCAAGTGCCATCTTGCGGAAGATGGTATATGAAACACTGCTTCAAAATGATGAATTAGGTGGGTTGGATTTGTTCACTCTGTGTATCAAGTCACGCGTTCTGTTATACGAAGTGTTGTGCATGGAGTTCACTCCATCCTTAATGCACGATTTTAGGAGCAAATATGCGCAAAATTGTGAAATTGCGGAATTTGCCCTTTTGTTGTATGATGCTATTTGTGTTGGATACTAGGAATAATAAACTATAAAAAAGCTCATAGTTAATAAGGCACAAATGTTAAATTATTATTCCTTGCTAATAAAAAATATTTAACATTTGACGTTCTGCTATACACACGAAATCACTCCTACTCCGAACTGTTTTTATTAGCTGAACTCACCTATTAATAGACAAGTGAAAGTGCCCCATATGTTCATGGTAGAATATCTATATATCATTTGGAGTCACAGGTATAATGTGTACAAAAATAAGATTAAAAATTTACAGAGAAAATTTATGAAATTCCGCTCCTATAAAGGAAATCGTAACTTTTAGTGCCAAGGAGCGCCATCGCGCTGCTGTCCCTAGTTGTGAAAAATGCCAGCATCGTGATATTGCTCCTTTTAACAGTTTTTTATTTATTATATTATTATACGATCCAATCAAATGCGGAACAGCTAAGTATAGATGAATCTCTGGTTTGAACAAGGTGCCAAACCACCATCAAACAATATTTACCAAATAAAATACATCCTAGATGGGGCATAACATTTTGGATGCTCAGTGATTCTATTACTAAATATTGTTTAGGCTTTTATTGTTATCGTGGGGCACAATCTAATAAAGATAAGGATGGAATAAAAAAGACAGCTCTTGGTTCTGTAGTGGTGCAAAAACTCCTAAGTTTGGGAAACTATTTCATTCAGGGATACCATATATTCACTGACAATGTCTATACTAGTATAGAGTCAGCCAAGTCACCTTTGGAGAAAGTCACATGCAACATGGCACTATAAGGCGCAACAGAAAGAGTATACCCAAGGAAGCAAGAATAACCAAAGTTGGTGAGCCTAAATATTTTAGTAAAAGGGAAATTCTAACGTGTTCTCATCGCTATTGGAAATGTAACAGTAAAAGAGAAACATGAAAAGGATGAAACAGAAAAAATGGAGCCAGCTATGATGCATGTCTACGATGGGTGGTGTAGATGAATCTGATAAAATGCTGTACTCATAATCAGATGAAAGAAGAACAGTGAAGTTTTGGAAAAAAAGTAGTGTTTATTATTTTCGGAAGAACGACTCTAAACTCATTCATCAAGTGGCTCGAATTTACTTCCAGTGGAATTTTCTTCTCAATAAATATGCATTAGAAACTGTTAACAATGGATGATTGATATTCTTTTCTTTCATAAAATCTTAAATGGCCGTGTGAACTCTCTCTCTCTCTCTCTCTAAATATTGGCTAGAATTCCATTTAATGTACCACCTCGACACTTTGGGACCATGCCGCTATTTATTATTACCTTTAGAAACACTAACAATTCTCAAAATTCTACAGTGCTACGTACGCTGAGAGTTGCAAACCTTCGATTTTTAGATCTGGATTTATTTACACACATGTTTCCTTAAAGAAGACACTAATTGTAAGACTATTGGATCGACATTTGCTATCTGCTTCTCTTACTTTTACTTATTTAAAGAGTACCCCATAATAAATAAATAAGTCGGAACCTTTTTTTTCTTTAGTGTCTTTTCTTTTTCCTTCTCTATGATGGCTCGCGGATTTGATACGCTTCTCAATCCAAAATATTAGGTTTAGTCTGTTTTGCGTGGTGATGATACAATTTCTTAAACAATATCTGTTTGGTTGGTTTAACTGATGTTTTTGTATTATCGTCACAGTATATGCAGCCTTTACAAATGGCGCTACAAGCATCTGGGTAATCTGAAACACGTCGAGCGATGGTCCGAATATCAACGCGCAAACGCAGGGTTCGAATTCGATTTCCAACTGGTAGACGTCCAGGACTTTAACGGAGTTGGCGAATCCGAACCGAATCCCTATTTTTACCAGGTCAGTTATGTCATTTATCGCAAAATGAACAAATCCATATCCGCTCTTTTGGTTTCAGAATTTGGCTGAAGCTGAATACTGCGTCGCCGTTTTTATGTTTATGCGCCTGATTGGCTATCCAGCGAGCAAAATTACGATCTTGACGACGTATAACGGACAGAAGCACTTGATTCGTGACGTCATTAACGCCAGATGTGCCAACAATCCTCTTATAGGAAGGCCGCACAAGGTGGGTGGCCCTTGTTACAAAAAAAAACTTTTTTTTTTGTTAGTGTTTCCTTACTTCCTGTTTTTATGTTGCTATTGTTCATCCAAAAATGTTCACATTACTTGGATGAAATACTTTTCGAAAACTGTCAGAAAGTTCTTTTAGGTCTCCATAGTCGTTGATTAAGAGAGAAAGTTGATAAATAAATATTTTATATTTTTATGCATCAATTTTGGTCATTTTAAAAATCAAACTGACAGTTTAATTTTTTTTTACCGCTTTTTTTTTGCTTACTCTTTTCATCTTTTGAAAATGGAGTGATATAGAAACATTTTTTTCTATATTATGTTCTTAGCATTAATATATTCATCTCTTTTGCGAGCTAGATTGCGATTAGGTGATCACCGGTAGTTTGAACCATACACGACCTCACTTTTTGGTAGCGTGGACGGATATCTAACACATTATTTACAATATGCTCGTTAACTCGCCGTTTAAGTCGACGCTCTATACTGGACGAGCCCCGGGATCGATCCTGGGTAGACACAAAAAAAAGGTGAGTTATGCCGAATATTTTTTGAGGTTAGTCCGAATAACTACAAGCATTGGGGACCCCCCACTGAGGCAGAGCACACCCTGTAAGCGCTGGGGCGCCCGCGGCCGTCCGGGATACCAAAAAGTGATTTTATGTATGGCTCGAATTCCGTTTGATCATCTACTATTGTGAACGACCCTGTATTTATTCTGTTAGACCAATTTATTTGCTTAATAATTGCAGGTAATTGGGCCGCTAAGTGCAAAATATTGATATTTTTTTATTAATAATTGAAGGTTGATATGTTAAGGCATAAAATTGCCATTTTTCTGCTCTAGGTGACAACGGTGGACAAATATCAAGGTCAGCAAAACGACTATATACTTTTATCCCTGGTCAAAACCAAAGCGGTCGGTCACTTGCGTGACGTCAGGCGTCTGGTGGTCGCCATGTCTCGCGCCAGACTCGGACTATACATTTTCGCGAGAGTTTCCCTCTTCGAAAACTGCTTTGAATTGACCCCCGCTTTCGAAAAGGTGACGCGATCTGCTACCCTTTAGCTAATTTAGCTTGAACTGTAATTTTTAGTTGACAAAGAGACCGACCAAACTGCATCTGGTTTTGAACGAGTTTTATCCAACTCAGAGGCAAAACGACCAAAACAACAACGCAACGCCCATGGTGGTCGAAGACATGACCCACATGGCTAATTTCGTTTACCAGTATTACATGGAGAGAGTGAAACAGTTAAAAACGCATTTCGAGGTAAATTGTGTTGACTTTTTTGCGGCGACACCACCGGAAATTATTTTGTTGCAGCAAACACAGAAACAGTGGGAGAAACCTGGCAACGTCGAACCGAAGACGCACGAAGGTTTGATTTCGGCGCATCCTGGTGAAGATCGTGACACGGATAGTGAAGATGAGGCTGAGGATACGCGAAACCAAATGCGGGTGCCCATAATCGACGAACCAATCGAAGATGCAGTGGTTGAAGAAACAGAAATGGCACCTGAAGAAGAAGAGGACAAGAATGAGGAGATGGAATTAACGACAGATACTGGAGAAGCAGTTAATGATCAATAGAATGTGGATTTTTTAAATAAACTAAATGATTAGTCTAAATTGCTTCTTTATCTTATTAAATGAAATTTATATTTTAAAAACAATTACTTTTTTAACCAGCAACAAAGAAATAATAAAAATACATCCATAAGTATAAAAATACAGTTATGGTGCATTTGAACTATTGCCGCTTTTGGGCTCAGTATCTGATGAATGAGTTGCTATTGTTATATCTTGTCCTGAAGCACTATCTTGTATTTCTGAAGTCTCTCTCTTATATTCTTCCTCATCTTCAGACCCTGATGAACTCAAATCTTCATCCAGTTCAGTATCCACCCTAGAAATAATCAACACTATATTATTACAATTAACAAATAGTGGGATGCTATACCATAACTTCCTCTTTTTTTTTGGACCATCTTGTGTTTCGTGTTTGCGTTTCACACTACTGGAGGCTGAAGCCTCCAGCCCTTTCAAAACGGCATCTTCAACTTTCTCGGGCAAGGAGGATCTTTCCTTATCGTAGTTGTCGTCTTTAAATTCGTGTTTGGGATTCTCCAATAGTTTTTCCAGTTTCTTCTTCTTGCGCTCTTTCGCCTCTTTTTCTCTCTCAGCTTGTTGAGATATCCAATTTTTTAACCTAAAATATTATTGTTTTTACAGATTGCCGTTTTGTTTGGTTCATTGGCTACCTTTGTTCTTCATTGATATCTCTCAATCTCCTGCCACTGAGGTCTCGACATGCCTCTCGATTTGTGGTTTTCTCAATTTGAGCGCCGATCGCTCTTAACATCGAACCAAACCCACCTTTCCCACCCAACACTCGGGGATATATGTAAAGTGTTTGAGTAGAGTCGATGTGTCCGTCGCGGATAATTTTACCATTGCACACTAAATAATACTGATCTGGTCTTATCTCCTACAATAAGGGAGTGAAAATTAGGACATTGATTTAGAAGACTTGGATAAAGGAATCATCTTAAAGACTTATATACTTACAAGTGTTTGAAGTATGAGGTGCGACAAATCGTGGAAATTTATTCCGTTTGTCTGATTATCCAAACATATCCTGTTATTTTTTAGGAGCTTCATGTTTACATTGACAAATACTTCAATTCAATTTAATTATGCGTTTCTCAAGCACTGTTGGGCACGACTGCTAGGATCATTTGCCCACTGCCGACTTCCGTCAAGGATTTTCTCTTTTGGTCAATGACCAACACGTACGAAGAAGAAATATAACCAAAATTTGCTCAGCTAGCAAAAAACGATTTTGACCGATACCAAAAAAATTGGCTTCCCCCGCTACCACAACAGACCACCCGGGCCCATCCGGCCTCCATACCGGCGTGAACCGGGAAAAACGACGGGGCCGACGACGATTATCACTTTAAAACATACACTGAACACTCAAAACACTAAATCCACACTGTGGAAACCGACATCAATTTTTTGGGACGAATACAAGGGATTCTGTCGAGAGCGAACGGTGGTTCTAAAAGATACTTCGGATTGTTTCTTCTTCTTCTATACTTCTAATGGTCAAGAATACATAAGGTCATTCGGCCAGCTTACACAATTATTAACATCATTCAAATATCCTAAAGAATGCCTTCTTAAGAGAAGGGTCTGGACCAATCCGTCATCCTCCGGATTTGTTACATACAGAAAATGGAATTTCAACAAGAAAATGGTTCTTTGACCGATTACAAAAAACGGCCTCCTCCGCTTCCTCCGCGGACCATCCAGGTCCATCCGGTCTCCATACCGGCGTGAACAGGAAAAAACGACGGGGCCGACCACGATTATAACTTTAAAACATTCACTGAACACTTAAAAACACTAAATCCGCACTGTCGAAACCGATTTCAAAGTTTTTGGGGACGATTACAAGGGATTCTGTCGGGAGCGAACGGAGGTTAAACCTTCGCGTGCAATGCTCCACCACTTCGGAATGTTTCAGGTGGATTCTATATTAATGCATAGAAGTGGAAAAAATTAAAATAGCTTTGGGCGAATGGTCCATCAAAACTTAGAATGTGAAAATATGAAATTTGTTTTTAAGGATTTAAAAAAAATGTAGGCTCTGTGTAATCTGTTATGTTGGTTGCATAACCTCCGGATTAAAGACCCTTTAAATTTTAACAGGGAATTAACTTTTGTGGGTATTACAATATTACTTTAAACTCTTTAAAATAACAAAAAAGTTCTCTTTGAAAAACATTTATTTAGGATTCTTTCAGTAATCCCTTTGTAAACGAATTTTTCGAATAAAAAATGTCAACAAAGGCCCAGCGCAATCATCATCTGACTCTTTTTCACGTCCGGATTTTGAAAATCTCCCGAAACCGCTTTGTGGTTGTTATTTTCTCCAGAGACCGATTTCCCGGCAAGTTGCCCTTGTGGCGCCGAATGCACTAGTCTACCCATAAGTGTGGGCGGCCTCTCTTTTCTCGTTTTGTACCATTCGTGTTGCGTCACCCTCTCCAATGTTATGCGCATGGTCAGATCCGGTTCTAGTAGTTGCCTCACCAAAGATTTAACAGTAGGGGAGAGAGTCGCGCGCACGCGCGATCTAAACAACCAATTTTTGGTCATCTGCGCTTTGAGCAGCGTTCTAAGATTCGAGTCGTCAAAAGGCATGGACGCGTTAAGCATAATGTAGAGAACGATGCCGAGCGACCAAATATCTGATAATTTCGGGTTGTAGGGAATACCGTTTACGACTTCAGGGGCGGCGTAGGCCGCCGAGCCACAATACGTCTGGCTAAGTATACGACGGTTGTCTGCGTCTACGCAGTATCTAGCGAATCCGAAATCGGCTAATTTCACGTTAAACTTTTTGCTCAGCAGGATATTTTCGCACTTCAGGTCCCTGTGAGCGATGTTCTTGCCGTGGAGGTACTGGAGGCCGCTGATCATCTGACGGAACCATATTTTCGCTTGCTGTTCCGGAACCACGCCGTTGCGCTTGATAAAATCCAGCAAATCGCCATTATCGGCGTATCTATAAAAGCGTTACCAACTTTAAAACAACAATCATGGTTGACGGTGTTGAAAGTTTCGCCGAGGATATATTTAACGATTAAATTTCGCATTTGATAACCACCAAAAGCTCCACTTTCAGAAAATATCTAGCAATACATAAATGTTGAATTAGTGATTAAGATAAAGTGCATATCTACTACGAGCGACGCACCTTGAGGAAGTAGCAAATATGAAGATCACACGTTAAGGGCGTGGCAAAGACAAATGACACGTCTAAAATGGGACCCTTAAATGAAAGGGAGGTGGTTAAAATTAGATGAAAAATGATCGGTCAAAATAAAAATAGGCGGTGCTATGGCGAACAAAAGCAACGCCCACAGAGGCGTGACGAGAACGAAAGACGAGTACGGGCGTGACTAAAGCAAAAGAAAAGAAATTATATAATAATAATCGAGTTTTGTTTGCGGTCGTACCAACCTCATAAAAATAAAAACTCTCGGGCCCCTTTGCAGTATGCTGTGCACCTGGATAATGTGCGGGTTCTCGATCTTCGTCAGTATTTCCAATTCCCTAGGGAAAAACTTGTCCAGGAAATCTTGAGGCGCCTTTTCCCTGTCGAATATCTTACAGGCCAGACGCATCTTTTTTGGTCCGCTACTGTCCACGTAGTCGGCCAAATGTACAGTCGCGTACGATCCCTGACCAATCTTTTTGCCTATGAGGTAACCTCTTTGTTCCAATGCGTTTACTTCAGAATGTTTCGGGCTGAGGCGCGTAGCCATACTTTCGAGATGTATATCCCAAGCTGCGCAGACTCCAGATTTTTAACCGAGCATTTAAATACTAAGTATCTACTGCGAATTTTTTCTGGGCTTCTTCATGTGTTGGTCATTATGTGTTCGCGTACAAAAATTTGGTCTCGTCTAGTTATTCGATTTGAAAAATATGCGATCTTTCACTTGCCAACGTCAAGTTTCGGCTGCTTGGTTGTCATTTATTAAGGCGATCAAAAAAATGTAGGATATACGGGTCGTCTTTAAATATCACCACATGTCGCAGGTATAATCAAATGGGACGGATCACCAAATGAATAATAGGCGGTTTCAAAAAGCAATGCCTGACAATGATAATTTCCAGAGCAAACTTCTGGCAACAGAAAAAATAAAGATTCGGGTTTTAGCAGAACACTTTGCAATTAATAATCCACTGACTTTTCCTGACTCGCCCCGCGAACAGAATCTAAACTGGTTTGGTTTTGTGCGACAAATTGTATTCATTTGTTTTCTTTGTTATTCACTACTAATAATAACAGTAGATAAATGTAATAAGAGATCGTTTATATTATTTCTCAATTTTTCTACTATTCTTGACCGTGATAATCTTGTGTATGCTAAATACCTCCGAGTAATTTCATGCTGGTGTTAATAATTAAAAATATTTTTTTAAATGGTAACTCCTATGGTTGCATATTGTTGCAGTAAGATTTTCTTTTATACTAATTATTATGTTATTATATCTATTATCTATCCTGGATATCCGCTCTCCTATTATATCTACAGCAAAAGGTAAATCGGGGAAAATTAATGCATTTGATATGTTAAATGGACACCGGTCAAAATGTGATATTGGTCAAACACTTTTTTAAGACGAGTAAGACAGCGTGTATGATATGTCTTAAGGGTCTTTTGTTGTCTCGCAACCCTTCTCAACTTTCATTTTTCTTATGACCGCCATATTGGATTTTTCGATTTTTGGAAAAACGTCTAATTTCTAATTAAGCGATGTCTCATAAAGCCACAAAATATTTCATCACACTTCTTAAGGTTAGGTCTTAATTATTTTATAAGTGGGCCATGATACTTTGAATTATAAATCACGTCCTTCTTATAAAATAATTTCATTCTAACTTACGAAGTGTCATAAAATCTTTTGTGCACTTGTGGTATATCACTTAACTGGAAATTTGACGGAAAATGAAAGTTAAGGCGCTTTGCGAGATTACAAAAGACGACTGAGATATGTCATACACGCTGTCTAAAAAAAGTGCCTGAATATTATCACATTTTGACAGCTGTCAATTTAACCGTTTCCTATTTTCTGGTGAAAAACAAAATGGGCCATTGAAAAAGAAAATTAAAATTCTTCTCATTTGCAAGAAAAAAAAGGTCAAATTTTAAAGCTCTTTTTTGAATTAACACTTTTGAAAAGTTGAAGTTAGAGAATAACTGGAAAGACCATATAGCTACTAGAGATAGAGAGGCTCAGCTTGTACCCATAATACAGGAACTTATGAAGCAACTATAAAAAAAAATTGAAAATGGAATTGAAAATTGAAAATGAGCATTGGCATGTGCTAGATTTTGAATTTCGTTTTTAACCAATGACATTGCGGTATTCGACAACCAACATGGCCGCTGACGGTTCGTCAATAAGTGTTGATTCGGCATTTTCCGGCAGTATTTTGTCAAAATATGCCGAGATCTTATTAAATGTCCTGTGTGGAAAGAAAATTTAGCAAAGTGCAGGTTACCTTCCCGTTGAAAATATCAATGACGTCTGCGGCGCATCATTCTTTACAGTAGTAAAGCCACTAAATTATCTAATAGCTATATGGGAAGGACCGATAATGTGTTCAGATATTTTCAAAGTAAAATGCAGTTGCAGACTGAAATTCTTACGTCCAAATTGATAAAGAGACTAAAGAGAGCAGCGCAAATTACACTCCAGATATCGCGCACAAACTTTAATAGTCGAACCGTTAATTTGTTAACAACGTTTTTGAAACGGTTTGTATTCTTTCATGGGAATGGCGATCATCTTGCACTCGCGCGCCATCTTCAGCGCCAAAACGAACACCAAGACGCTTTTGGCTATTTCCCTGTAGTACCTGGTGTTGTACACTTTCGTAAAAAAGTCCGACACGAAGAAGCAGATCCTATTGCTATCCCAAAGCGTGGTGGTGTCACGCGATATGGTTATATCGTCGGTGGTTGCGGTAGCCGCGATCGCTTCTTCTTCCGTTACGGTAATGCGTTCCTCGTCTTCGGTAGCTTCGCGTTCTTCGTTTTCCGTGCCGGTGGTTTCGTTTTCTTCGGACTCTGTAGTCGCCATGGGTGCTTTTCTAAATTTTGAGGCAAGCTCGGCCAATGTAAAAGCATAACCATAAAAGTGACGCTGACGATTGCTGTTGTACGACAGTCATGTCACTGGTCTGTCTGAGGCTTAGTTTATTTGATATTAGGTTAGGTATGATTAATTACTGCTAGTTGAAATAAGTTAACTATCGATTTGCCATAAATACACATCTATATAGCCCCTAGAATATTATATAAATTAATTGTCTACTTCGTTTCAGCGTATTTTTATAGACCCAGTGGATACAATGGAGCCCACTTAAAGTAAATTCAAACAAGTAAATCAAGTTGAATAAGAAAACCTTATAAAAAATAAGTCCAAGGGATAGTCGTGGAGCCTTTGGTTGCTGGTCGTTTGACCTTGTTAGGCAACGCAGAATCTAGTTAATTCTTAGTCAATCGTTTGAATTAAAATACATTAAACACACATACACAACTTTGGTGTATATACATATATCTTTATAATTCTCAAAATACAAAAAGAAGTAAAAAATATATATTAACCCGAACAAAACAAAAATTAAAACTTAAAACTACAGATGGCAACCCATATAGCTACTAGAGATAGAGGTCCTTCCTATGCCGATAATACAGGAACTTGCGAAGCAACTAGAAAAAAAATTGAAACTTGTGTCTGTGTTAAAGAGAAGTGACCTTAAATTAGAGACCTGTGGGACACCTGATGTGGGCCCAAATAAATCCAATCCCTCATACCCAAAAAACTGACTGCGATTGAAGGGGGGACAATTTTAATAGTAAAAAAAGTTCATTACAGAATCCAAACTGGTCCGAAACCTTTTGATTAATTTACTCAGTCGGTGTAAGTCGACTTGACTCTTTTTAGTGATAGCGTCGCATACGTAAACTGAGAACGAACAAATATTAGTCGACCTTTGTGAATGAAACCCGTGTTGATTTATAGAGAGTTAGTTACGATTTGTAAGAAAGTTACATGAGATAAAGATACTTCGATTATGTTCAGTAAGAGAAGAATCAATCTTTTCAAAAGATAGGACAAACCTTGGAAACCTTCCTGATTTTGGGAGCTACATAACTGTTCAATGACTAGGTAAAAATACGCCAAAGAGGAACACTCATAATAGATCACCATCGGTGAGAGAGATGGTCTTTTTTATTAGCATGTTGCAAGCCGAGAACACGTCCTCTAGTAGGGATAGCGATAGTTTTCATATTGGACTACTATATTGAAAAGCTCAGACTGTCCAGAGGCTTTGCAAACATCCGTAAATAAGTGTGCGGAAGCGGAGATCTTGGCTTTGTTTGTTTGCATAGTTCATTGTAGCTGGGATTCACAATTTTTTAATTTTGATGATAGACTAAAAATATGGAAGCGTTGTAGTTTATGTTTGAGTCCGCGTTCACACAGTAGTACCTGGAGGTCTGCTGAAATTGTAATTTTTACAGGCCGCTCAAGGTCTTGAACGTAGTGAGGTCAGGTGCAGGCGACGACGAACTTTTTGAAAGGTATGGTCTGTTCATAGATATAAGAAAGTGACCAAGTGCTTTTGAATGGGATTATCCAAGGGTAGTCATTAACATACAATGTAACAAGATTATTACCTAAAGTTTCGGAATTTAAATTCAGGTAAAATTGGGGTCCGTAATAGAAAATAATAAATAATAAATGTTAAATAATAATCTTGTTGCATTGTATGTTAATGGCCACCCTTGGATAATCCCATTCAAAAGCACTTATATCTATGAACAGACCATACGCAGGTGACCAATTTGATATTCGAAAACTGATTAAAAAATTCACTGGCGTCAGCAACATTAGAACTGTCAGTAATGCAAGACAAGTCAGTGTGCAACATTAAATCATACAGCCTAGGATACTCGGCTTTACTAAATTTGATGTTGATTTTCATATTTACAATAATAACTTCTTTAAGACATTTTTCTAAAATTTAATTTATTATTTTAAATAAAAAAGTTAAGTAGCATTGTTTAATTTTGTTTGGACTAGAAAGTTTTTCATAAGATTCGAAAATGTTTGTTCAAATAAGATGTTTCGTGTAGGAAAACAACTTATTGGACCCATCCTGTGCAGAAGTTAACGATTTGTAGATATGTAATAACTGGCATATCCAATAAAAGCTAAATATTCTTCAACTTTCTTGGTCATAGAACTCGAAAATGCGCGCAGTGTGACAGAAAAACTGCTATTTTCAAATCTTTAGGATTTCTCCTGGGTCGAATCGAACTTCCCAAATAGCACAAGGATCGTCCTCGGGATATCCGACTGGACGTAGCGTATATCCTAGGAATATACTGTTTCAGCTAAGGGACATCCTTAAGACGTCTCAAGGATATACGATGTTACTAATTGGAAGGTCCACAGTATATCAGATACGTATGTCAGTAGTAATTATTCGTCACTTGACCATCCCCCGTCCCCCGGGGGAGATTTTGTGATTGCAAATTTACAGATCCCCAAGCAACCGAAAAAAAAAAAAATTAGTTTGACCATTCTACGAGAGATGTCGCCACCCATTAAGAGCTCAGGTTTCGATCGCCAGATGTCACCCTGAATGGGGGGGTAGGGGGTAGTTTTCGCGTTAGTGCCTTTTTGGCAATTTCGCCCCGCTAGGGGTAGTTTTTGCGTTAGTGCCTTTTTGTTATGACGTATTTTTGCGCGAGGTGAAAAAAGCGACCGGTGTGTCGCGCGCGGTCGGGGGATTCGAACCTCGAACCCCGCGCGCTACGTTAGTCGAGCCTAGCCGAGCCTAGCCGACGACGATTTCGGCGGCGACGATAAGAGAATTCAACTAATAAAAGGTCGTCGAGGTAGTATTGACATCCGATATGTTTAAAATGCGCGAATTCAATAAACACATTTTTATTAACTTACAATGTATCTGATAACGATAAAAAACATTATACGTAAATAAAGCATATATATTTCATATT